CTGCCACATCTGCCTGAAGAACAGATAAGGCAAGTGAAAATGATACCTTGCAGCATGTGGAGACAACGTGCAGAAGAAACAAGCAGAGAAGAATGCAGTCTTCACAGTCAGCTCAGCAGAAGGAGTTCGAGCTGAGGAACTCAAGAAGCTACCACATCTGCCTGAAGAAACAAACAGAGAAGAATGCAGCCTGCACAGTCAACTCAGCACAAGGAGTCTGAGATGAGGAACTCGAAAAGATGCCACATTCTGCCAAGAAGAGTAGATAAGGCAAAGGAAAATGATACATTGAAGCATGTGGAGACAAGCACAACAAAGCACGTGTTGATTCATCCACAACTTATTCAAAAGCAAAAGTACCTCATATCATCAGAGTCGGAAGCAAAGATATCTCATGGCGTGCTTTTCCTTTACCCTTGCTCTTGCCTGCAGGACAAGTAGAAAGAAAATAATCGGTCGGCACTTGGAAAGATTGAAGAAAGAAACGGACTAACACCTTCACCTCGTGCCTGCTTGTCATGTGTTCGAGTCAACCTTCAAGAATCAAGCCTCAACGGCCTTTGAAGAAGTTTCCAGCCAAATTCAAGATCAAGCATCGACGGCCCTTGAAGAAATCACAAGTCCGATTCAAGATCAAGTGTCTACCACTCTTGAATCAAAACCTAGTTCAAGAATAAGCTGTGGAAAATCAACAATTGGAGGAATCCAGAAAATCCTCCAACCCAGTTCAAGATCAAAGCTGTGGAAAGTCAACAAGCGCAACAAAATACGTACCGATTCATCCACTACCAAAGCCAAAGATCATCTACCACATGAAGCTCCTTATGGTCCAATTTCAACCTTCAAGATCAAGCCTCGACGGCCTTTGAAGAAATCTCCAACCCAATTCAAGATCAAGCCTCAACGGCCCTTGAAGAAATCTCCAGCCCAATTCAAGATCAAGCCTCGACGGCCCTTGGATCGACATCTACATTAAGGGACTTCAAAACACATCTCCTACACGTGACAAGCACATGTATACGACGCGCCTTGAAGTAGGGGCATTTGTAGACATCGAAATTTCGGTAAATAAATGTTGACCGATAAATCAAAGTTTCAACATTCATGTATTATATAAATTTTACACGTAGCATGTGTCTAAACAAAAAATTGAAATAAGTTGGAAAAGTCATCAAACAGGACATGTGTCAACACCTGGCAGAAACGACTTATTTCATCTGGAATATTATATTCAAAATTAGGCCTTGGAAATTTCTATAAATAGAAGGCTAATTCATTCATTTAAGAGGGAACCAAAATCATTAGGCAAAATTCTGAAATTCTGAAGCTCTGAAACTTCGAAGCTCTCAAGCATCCAGGTTCCCGAAGAATCAAGAAAGCGTTCTTCGTTCTTCGTTCATCGTTCTTCCAAGATCAAGCCTCGACGGCCCTTGGATCAACAATCATCCACCTTCAAGATCAAGCCCCAACGGCCCTTGAAGAAAGCGTTATTCGTTCTTCGCTCATCGTTCTTCCAAGATCAAGCCCCGACGGCCCTTGGATCAACAATCATCCACCTTCAAGATCAAGCCCCGACGACCCTTGAAGAAAGCGTTCTTCGTTCTTCGTTCATCGTTGATGCGTAAAATAACTAAACACACAAATTAAACCCTCTTTTTGACAATTGTAGTATAGATGTAAGTAGGGTATCGTTCTAGGCCGGGGATTAGGAGGGATTGCTAATCTATTCTAAATTAATTTAAAAATATTAAACAAGACTCAAGGACACAAAACTAGGCTAAAAACTCTAATAACTCTAAACACACTTAGAATGACTCAAAATAATGGAAACAATCAATTTAGACACTAGGAACTGAAATGGACGGAAATTGAATTAAAAGACTAACAACAATGAACACTAACTAAATAATATAATTTAATAATGGGGGGGGTTTGGTTTTGATGAGAAGTAAATTAAACTTAAATAAATTACAGAATTGACAAAAGCATGAATTAAGGTGAAAGGATAGGTGACGGACTAGCTAGAGGGTTCTTCTCCACACATGACACATATGCAACCTAAATTGATTTTCAGTTGTTCTTTCAATAAATTGTGAATGACAATGTTCCAAGTTAATTAGGTCCGCTTAAATTAACTCTTAGATTTCCCTAGATTCATTGGATTGAATGGAATACGCATTACAACCCAATTATTCCTCATCAAAGTCCCTAACTATGGAATACGCATGATAGAGACATTCAACAAAGATCATTAAGTTCAACGGAAATCATAAACATTGACTAGGCATTCATAACTATGGAATACGCATGTTAATCCAGCCTAGAATTCATTTAACACGATTGTGGATAACAACCTTCACTACTTGTAAATATAAGTTCATAACGATTAGGTGAAATTCACTTATATTCTAGCATCAAATTCATGCATGTAAATTAAGTATGCATTCTTAATCGACATACAAAAATAAGTTATCAATCAAGCAGTTAAGCAAATTAAATCACAACTCAGAAACCACAACTGAAGGTAATCAATTCATATTACAAATATATTCATGGCTTTGAATTAACCTCTAGCCAAAATAAATTTAGTTACACATTATTTTCAAATTAAACCAAAAGTAAAACATGGGTTTGAGAAGATAAAACCAAGAAAAGAAGATCTGCCGTGCTTATGTGCTTCTGCCCTCCTGCTCCGTGTCTATCTCCCCTGCTTCTCCTCGTCACCCTGCTGCGTCTCTCTGCCCTCTGACCTGCTCTCCTTATTTTCTGCCTTCGCACAGTTTTCTGTGCTTCTCAGTTTCTCACGTCTCCCAGTCCGCCCGTGTCTCCTCCCTTTTTTTATTTCTTATTCCTGCCAGTCTCCTCTCTCCTGCGCTCACTGCGCACTCCTGCCCCGTGCGTCCTCTATGGCCGTCTCCCCTCTCTTCTTTCGTTTTCTTCATTTTCTTTTCTTTCTTTTTTTTTTCTTCTTTTCTTTTCTGCTATCTTTCTTTGCCTTTCCTTTTTGTTTATTCTTCTCCATCATTCCATGTCTGCCATGCCATGGATTTCTTTTATATTTTTTTTTCTTTTTCTTAGCAGTAGATGCTTTCCCACTCCCGTCCCATTTATTTCTTTATTTTTTTCTTTGCTGTGCCACACTCCCTTCTTCTTTTCCTTTGATTATTCATGCATCAATCCATTATTTCTGCTCCCTTGTCTTTTATTTTCTTTTCAGCCCATTTTGTTTGAAATTAATCCTACAACAAAATTAACTGTACATTAACACAAGGTAAAGTAAAATGCCACAATTTTAACACAAAAACATCCAAAGGCTTTAGAAATGAATGGTATAAATGCATGAAATATATGACTGATCAATCGTTCTTCCAAGATCAAGCCCCGACGGCCCTTGAAGAAAGCGTACTTCGTTCTTCGTTCATCGTTCTTCCAAAATCAAGCCCCGACGGCCCTTGGATCAACAACGTCGACAAATCCACACATCCAACCGTTCTTCAAGATCAAGCCCAAAAGCCTTTGAAGATCCGTTCATCACCGTTATTCAAGATCAAGCCTTAACGGCCCTTGAAGAAACACTCATCCTCAAGATTAAGCCCCAACGACTCCTTGAAGATCCGCTCAAATCCACCTTCAAAGATCAAGCCCATGGCCCCCTTGAAGAAACTTCCAACACTTCATCCAAGATCAAGCCTCGACAGCCCTTGAATCAAAGAAACATCCGCAAATCAACACCTTACGGAGATCGAATCAGAGGATCAAAATAGAGAGAGATTGTAACCCCAAAATCATCAAATACAAATATTTGTTTGTGCACGTCGTTCTTGTCTCTTTCGTTTCGGGAATTTTCTGTGTTCACAGAAATGTATATAACTTCTTTTATTTTCACTTCAATACTTTGTATTCATTCATGCTTCTTTTATTTCTTCCCACTTCTCCCATGACCTTTCTTTATCACTCATTTTTCTCATCTCTCAAGTAGAAAAAATGTAAGTAAAAAGTTAAAAACAAAATTATTATCTAACATGCCTTTAGAGCATCTCCAGTAAAAAATGCAAATCTTAGAACATCTCTAATGGATTATTTTTCTTTCTGTCACTCACGAAGGCCACCTTTTAAAGATATAAGACAAGATGTAGGTATATTTACAAATATTTTTACATTTTTTGACGAAAATAAATATTTTATATTTTCTCTTCTTTTAAAGAAATTCCCAATCAACAAAAAAGACTTTTTAGCCAAAATGGTCTCTGAGATTTTCATAACACATAACTTTGGTTACTGAGATTTAAAATCAATGGAAGTGGTCATTGAGATTGTTCACCATCCATTATTTTGGTCATTCCATTAAAAAACTCTATTAAGTGGTCCATAAGCTTTTTAATGGAATGATCAAAATAATGGATAATGAATAATCTTAGGGATCAAATTTATGTGTTATGCAAATCTCATGAACTAAAATTATGTGTTATGCAAATCTCAGGGACCAAAGTTATGTGTTATACCCTTAACTTAACGGAGTTTTTTAACGGAATGACCAAAATAATGAATGGTGGACAATCTTATGGACCGCTTCTATTGATTTTTAATTTCAAAGACCAAAGTTATGTGTTATGCAAATCTTAAGGATCATTTTGGTTAAAAAGCCCAACAAAAAATATAAAATGCCTATTTCAAAATACCTTGCATCTCCTTGGAAATGGAAAAGGATCCTCGCCGGATTCTTTTTTTGGGTGATCGTAATTGTTTATTATACACCGTGTGGTTAGTTTTCGTTAGGTACTATTTATATTTAATTTTAAATTTTAAAATTTGAAATGATTTTTGACTGTACGATATATAATGAACGATTACGATCACGAGATCTCTAAGATCCGGCGAGGATCCTATCCCCTTGGAAATGGTCTCTTGAAGACAAGTTAGACATTGGGAAATGGGAGAGAAAACATTACCAATATGTTGACTCTTCCACGTCTGAGTTTGTTGGATCCAAAATTCCAAAGGGTTTTTATCTTTTATTTATTTTATTATTTTGGGTGGGATTATTAGGAAGCTGGGAACTACACGATTCATTCAGAAGTTTGATTGGTCTGCCAAGTGGTGGTACAAAATCTCAGGACTTGGTCTTTTATTTCTCCTCTTTTTCCCTTATTTTCAAGACTATTTCCTTTTCTTTGAAAACCTGAGGAGGACAAGCTGGCCAATTGCAATTGTTTTTCAATTCCATTGAGCCTTCAAATTCCTTGCTTGCTTGCTGCTTATTGAATTCCTCATCATATTTGGAGTTTTGGAGCATCTGATTGAATTTGATAAGAAAAGAAGAGAGATGGAGCTTTCACTGGGAATGGGAAGAGAGAGAAAGAAGGTGGTAGTGGTGGGAGGTGGTGTTGCTGGCTCCCTTCTTGCTAAATCTCTCCAGTTCGTTGCTGATTTCACTCTCATTGATGAGTATGCCTCTCTCGCTCTCTCTCTCTCTCTCTCTCTCTCTATATATATATATTTGTATCTTTCACTGATAGCTGAATACCCTTTTTTTGAATAACCTATTGGAGTTAGTTTCATCAGTTTATTTATAATCTCATGCTTAAATTTTTGGGAAATTGGCTGAAACTAAGTAATGAAGGTTATAAATCCCAATTGGGGAAAGTATTTGACTTTGATCAGTTCAGCAATTGGGATTTGTAAAATCATCGTTTCGCCTGATTTCCCAATTTTTTTGTGTTTTTCTGGTTTGTTTATTTATTTTCCAGCTAAAGTACAGAAACCCGAAACCTGGTACATCATAGATTCTTGGATTGCTGTTGAAATCCAACTGCAGCCTCTTCCAGTGGTAGTTTAGGAAATAACTGCTTTGACTACAGAATATGTCGTCAGCTACCATTCCTGGTATATGAACTATCATGTTATTTGCAAAATTATAAGATTATTAGTTTATAATTACGAGAATCATTCTGGAATTTGCATCCGCGCATCGTTCTTGTTGGTCCTTGAATCTCTTGATTTTCTAGGACTAGTAGCAAAATGCAATTAACTGCGGTTGTATGATTGACTTGTGGACAGAAATACCTTTTTTATGTGTTCTGGTGTGCGAGTATAGCCGCACGGGAATTGAAAGCTAACAAAATAGACTCAGCCAGATTTCAGTCAATCTGGTATTTACAATTTCAAAGGAGTGCCAACTGTGGAGTACCATCCGCTGATCCTTCTTTCTTGTTTTTGAGTAACCATTTCCAATAGAACCCGGAAGAACACATTGGAGGTATTGAATTTGGTTAGGGTAGTGAAGGCGATTTTGTGCACTCTGCATTCAATTTCTACTTGTCTGTCTTCCACAGTAAGTGTACAGATGAAGGCATTGAGAGGGAATGTTAAGGTAGAGTGAAAGCCTAAGCAACCTCTGTGATGTCCTCTGAATGTATGTGTGAGTGTGTGTCCGTGTATCGGCCTGCAGGCGTGTGTTGGGCAGGGGGTAAGGTTACTCGATGATGCAAATGTAGTTTCTTGATGTAGCGAATCAGCTAATCTGCTCATAATTCTTTCCCTTCTGCTATTTTTTTATCAGGTGATATAGTTGTCATTACAAGAGTTAATTGGAATGCTATTTGCTTAAAGTGTATTTATGTATCGTCTACTCAATCCAGTTAATTGGAATGTTTCCTCGATTGGTTACTGTAAACAGACCCATGCTCATAGGACCTGTAATATAAGTTTCTTGCTTGACATTTAAATGCATGTATTGTCTTTTGGTCATAGAAGTTTTCAAGAAACATAAGCATGATATCCGGTAGTTGCCATTTCTTGATTGATCTCGCTCTCTCCCTCTCTCAGTCTCTCTGAACTGAACTGAACTGAACTGAAGTGCTTCTTGTTGAAGTCGTTCAATAATCAATATGACATCTCATACAACTTTACTTGTATAGAACTCTCTGATCCTAAGTGAAAAAAAAAAAAAAATCTGAAATCAGGAAGGAATATTTTGAGATTCCATGGACAAGCTTAAGGACCATGGTTGAGCCAACATTTGGAGAGAGATCGATAATCAACCATAGAGATTATCTCACCAATGGCCAACTTATTGCATCCAGAGCAATCAATGTCACAGACACGGAAGTGCTGACCGCAGAGGGTCGTCTAATTCCCTATGATTATCTTGTCATTGCCACTGGTCACTCAGATCGTGTTCCCAAAACTAAGACTGCGAGACTTAATCAATTCCAAGAAGGTAAAACTACATGGAGATCTGTTTTCTGGTTTATTTTTTTATTTTTTATATTTTTTATCAATTGTCAAACAGAATGCTGAGATAAGTAATATCGCTTGTAATAAAAAAGAATCACACTTCACAATAAATTGAACTTTGAACATGTGCTTTTGTTTCCTATGATTTGTTTAGATCTAGATTAGCCGTGTTTAATCATAAGCATGCCTTTTTCTTGTACTTTTGTTAATTGTGCTTGAGTTAACATTAATCTTTCAATGGCAGAGAATCAAAAGATAAGGTCAGCTAATTCCATTTTGATTGTTGGAGGAGGCCCTACGGGTGTAGAACTCGCGGGAGAAATTGCTGTTGATTTCCCGGATAAGAAAGTAACTCTGGTGCACACTGGCACAAGGTTGTTGGAATTCGTGGGACCAAAAGCTGCAGACAAGGCTCTGAAGTGGCTTAAATCAAGGAAAGTTGAAGTGATATTGGAGCGATCAGTCGATTTAGATAATATCTCAGATGGATGCAAAACATATAAGACTTCAGAGGGAGAAACATTGACAGCAGACTGTCATTTTCTATGCACGGGCAAGCGTGTGGGTTCAGCATGGCTCAAAGAAACGGTTTTGAAGAATTGCTTGGATGTTAATGGGAGGTTGATAGTAGATGCAAATCTTAGAGTCAAAGGTCGAAAGAACACCTTTGCAGTTGGAGACATTACTAATATTGCGGTAAGTGCTAGCTGCAACCTTGTTATATTAACATTTTTATTTGCTTGGATAGTTTGATTCTATGTATCATGCATAAAAGAACTCAGTCAGTTTTCGGTGTCTTAATTCTATGAGTCACTATCTGATTCTGACCCGAATTTAGACTGGAGATTTTGTCGACGAAACGATGCCAACTTACCATTTTCTTAATTACTAGTAATTTACTTGTTGACTGGGTTACATTTAATTTAATCAAGTTCAGAAATTAAGAAGTGTTAAGACTTGACTTTTTTTTCGGTTACAACACATAAGTAATTAATTCTTGTTGACATGAGTTCCAAAAAGTGTTTTCCATATCATGCTGTTCTGCTTCGTTTAGGTGCGATCTTACTGTAAACATCATGTATTTCTGGTTTCATTCCATCCTTTCGAGTAGTCTATTTTGCCATATTCAGTCTGCATAATTTGAAGAGTGAGGAATATTTCGATAATGTTCAATCTCGATCCTGGATCTGCTTAACGATTCCTTATGCATATAGTTAGATATCTTGTATTCTGAGGCACCGCTTGCACTAAAACGCAATGGGAGAAAACAGAAATGAAAAAGGACAAGTATATATATAGACGATAGATATATGAATATGTTTGATTAGAGAAGCATTATGCTGGCCTTGGAATGTTTATGCTTGGGGATCAATAGTAATGCATTTTCTGTGTGAAAATGCATGTAACAGGAAATCAAACAAGGGTATCTGGCGCAAAAACAGGCGTTGGTGGCCGCAAAGAACATAAAGCTATTGCTCGCAGGCGGAAGAGAGAGTAAAATGGAAGCTTACGAACCTCATGCGATAATGGCAATTGTTACACTTGGGAGGAAGCATGGGGTTGCACAGTTCCCCATCACGACCATTGGCGGCCGCATTGCGGGACTGATCAAATCTGAAGATCTTTTCGTGGGGAAGACGAGGAAGCAGCTGGGCCTCGAACCTCACATTTTGAAAGACTAATTTGGTTTGGTGTGTGTTGTATGTGTGTATGTATATGTATGTGTGTATGTGTGTATGTGTGTATGCAGATAGGCGTTTTACCTGCATGATTGGAACGCGTCGTCCACATGCTTTCATGACCGGTAGACTTATTGTTCTTCCTATTCATATTTAGTCTAAAACTATAAAGATGTGTAACGTTTTATAATCTCATGATCCGAACATATCATTTTTAGAATTTTCATTTTTTTTTTGGGTGAAGAACGGGGAGTGGAATACAAAGAGAAAACTACAAAACAACAGCAAAACGAGCCCGAGGGGCTTCAGCAACATTCATCGATGAGGGCTGGTCTAATCCAAACGAGAGACTCATCAAATATAAGAACGCCAATTTCCATATTAAAACTCCACTCAGATTCGCCACAATATTCTTCTTAGCCTTTTCATTTTGGCTTTGTTAGAATTAACAATTAGACGCCTACTCCATTTCTGATACCAAAGTTTTTTGTGAACAATCTTTTATGGTAGTTCTATATAATAGATGGTGGTTTGGAATATGAGACTAGGTGTGGGTTCGGTCCAAATGATTTTGTGTGCCGTATTAAGTTGTACCCAAGGAGTTAATTTAGTGGAAGACAAGCAAAAGTTTGAACGATTTAACTTGAGTTTGAATGCCTACGGATACATTCATTTGAGCTATTGGCTTTGGTTTGACATACCATTTGACTTGATGACCAAAAGTACGATGCCTAACAAATTTGGTCATATTTGGTTAGCCATGTTTTTTAACCTAACAAACTTACCAAGACATTTTTTTAACAACATTGTAAGGTTACGGTCATATTTAGTTGCTTATTGCAATGAGCATTCACACCTCAATTTACAACAAGATACGTTATAAAACAAAATTAAAGTTTTACAAAAGTAAAATATAATTTTGCATGCTACCACCACCGTCACAATCGCTACCAACACAACATTCTCCACCACCATCACACACACCATGGCCACCACTACCTCCACGGGCTCACCATTGTTACCACCACCATTTTCGACACCACCACCACATCCTCCACCACCATCACCCCGGCATCCGCTACCACCGTCCTCGTCTCACCATAAACACCACCACTTGCATGGGTTTAGTTCTCTCTGTTTTTTTTTTTGGTCAAACGTTTCTCCCTTTCGGGTATTAAAACCCCGGTTAAATCTCAGCAGCCCATCCAATCCTACGGCTCATATCAATTTCCCAAAACCCCGTACTCTCTCTCTCTAGGGAGAAAGAAACGCTTTTAATAAGGTCGGTTCACAGCACTAGAAACCAGAGAGCAACGATAACTATCAGCCGCCATACCACTGCGGAAGCCCCGCAGCTCGAAGCACACAACCACCCTACCTCTGGCCCGCCGTTAGGGTTTCTCAATCAGGTCGCCATGGCGATAGACAGCGGAAGCAAGGAGCAGCCGCACAAGGAGCACAGGTCCCGGCAGTCCGGCGCCAAGGCCGAGAAGAAGAAGAAGCCGGACGCCTCCCAAAACGGCAATAAGCGAAACCCTAAGGCTTTCGCTTACCAATCAGCCGGGAAGGCCCAGCGTCTTCACTCTCGCGATGTCGAGAAGCAGCAGCGCCGCCTTCACGTCCCTACCATCGATCGTTCGTACGGTGAGCCGGCTCCGTATGTCGTTCTGGTTCATGGACCTCCCAAGGTATCTATAATCACTGCAATATATTTCCTGCATTGTGTAATTCTCACTCGAACTGCTGTTAATTTGTTCGAATTGTAACTTTTTTGTCGAATTTCTTATTGTTGATTTGTAGGTTGGGAAGTCTTTGTTGATTAAGTCGCTTGTGAAGCATTATACCAAGCATAATTTACCGGAGGTTCGAGGCCCGATTACCATTGTTTCAGGTGCCGTGTTTCGTCCTTTACTTCTGATATTGCAATGTTTTTTTATTTAATTTGATGTTGGATTGAGGACTGTTGTTTAAATGCTTGATTGATTGATTGTGTTAGGGAAGCAAAGGCGGGTACAGTTTGTGGAGTGCCCAGATGATATCAATGGTATGATTGATGCCGCAAAGTTTGCAGATTTAGCATTACTTCTTATAGACGGAAGCTACGGTTTTGAAATGGTGAGACTTTTGTTAGAATATTTATGAATTCAACTCGTCTCATGCGTGCGTACACACACACACACACACACACACACACACACACACACACACACTCACTCACTCATAGTTGGCATATGTATAGGACATGACTCTACTTCGATATTGATTCGGTGGAATTCTTGGTTTCTTGACACCTCTCTTTTGTTACTCGGGGATTCATTAAGCTGGTCACATTATCCATCAATATGCTATGAAGATATTTGTATTGTAATATTGTATCGGCTTCATTTACTTTGCAGGAAACATTTGAATTTCTGAATATATTACAAGTTCATGGTTTCCCAAAGGTTATGGGAGTTCTTACTCACCTTGACAAGTTTAAAGATGTAAAGAAATTGAAGAAAACAAAGCAGCACCTCAAACATCGTTTCTGGACTGAAATATATGATGGAGCTAAATTGTTTTATTTATCTGGTCTCATTCATGGAAAGTAAGTAGTCACTCTCTGCTTCCGATGATCCAGTCATGTGGGAAATTTGACAATTATTATGAATTCAATTCATTTTTTATAATTATCTTCCCCCTGCTTTAAAACAGGTATGTCAAACGTGAAATTCACAATCTGGCACGTTTCATATCCGTTATGAAGTTTCATCCTTTATCTTGGAGAACTGCTCATCCTTATGTTTTGGTAGATCGTTTTGAAGATGTCACTCCACCTGAAAAAGTGCGTTTGAATAATAAATGCGATAGAAATGTCACACTGTATGGTTATTTGCGGGGATGTAACATGAAAAAAGGAACAAAGGTACGTGTTTGACTTATAGAGCTTGTATTATTACCTTTACAGATTTGTGTAGATTAATTTAGAGTTTGGATGGGGAAAAAAGGACCCTGTAATTAGGTTAAGAGAGGTTCTTCAATGCTCTCCTTGAATTCCAAATGAAGGCATGGAGCCAGGAATTCATTTAAGTGGGGACAACTTCTAAAGAAAAGCTCCTTGTTTTGTTCAAACATAGCAGTCTAGATGATTTTCCGCCAGTACACATATTTGGGTTGGTTACTTGGTGGCTCCTGTAACAGGCCCATCTCCACCAAAAATATATGAGAGAATACATTAGACTATATGAGTATTTGGGTAACTTAGGATTGATTGCTGGAATGCCACTGAATTAGCACTCATTTGGGTTAAGTTATCGGCATATAGAAGTAAACAAACTTAAACAACAGTAGGGCTTCACCGCTTGGTTGAATCAGGTCAGATCAGCTGGGGCAAGTATTAAGTGGATAATCTTACCCATTAAAATTGTATCTTAGGGGTTCAACTTTTTGGGATGATAATACAACATCAGTAGTACACACCATGGTCTAAAATATCCATAATATCCCGATATTTCCATCGAAATTTCCGTGTTTTTGGACTACCGATATTTTTTTGGACTATCGATTTTTCCGATATCATCGATATTTTAGACCTTGCTAAGTCACTAATGTATCTTATCATGCAATGTATAAAGTGTAAAATATTGTACTAATTCATTATATATAAATGATTATGATGTGTTTAAACTTCTTTCATTAATTACTATATATTTTCTACACTCACAATGTTTGCCAGCTCGCTATATCAACTTAAATCAGTTATATCTATCATGCAATGTATTTTCTTCCAATTTTTTGTGATAAACTAATAGATAATTGACTAAATAAACATCTTGCAAAGTTTCAATAAAAATTTCCAAGTTTTTCTTACAATTTCCGTGGTTTTTATTCAATTTTTATCGATATCGATAATATCCCAATATTTCCATCAAAATTTCCGTGTTTTTGGACTACCTATATTTCCGATATCATCGATATTTAATACCTTGGTACACACTAGTAACTAAATACTGACACTACGATTGTGTAACTTGATACCTTCTTTTTTCTTGTTGGTTCTTTAAGGTTTCCTTTCTCCTAGTTTAAATATTGGGAAATTACAGGATTATTTTTTATACTCACTGTAATATCTAGCATAAATTTTTACGCTTCAGATATAAGTAAATATGAACTGTGCATTGTCTATCCGTGTTTCAAAATTCTAGGAACATTGCATTTTGTTTTTGTTATTTTTGCTCAGAATTAATAGAAATTGGAGTCAGTCTCACAGGAAAGAGTCAAGGGACAGGAAATTAAGAAAATATGACTCTTACGCTGTTTATTTTTATTTATATATAGTTGTCTGATGTACATTGTGTATCAGATTCATATTGCAGGTGTTGGGGATTACAGTTTAGCTGGTATGACAGGATTAGCTGATCCTTGTCCTTTACCCTCAGCTGCCAAAAAGAAGGGACTGCGTGATAAGGAAAAGCTGTTTTATGCACCCATGTCTGGACTTGGGGATCTCCTGTATGATAAAGATGCTGTCTATGTAAACATAAATGACCACTTTGTCCAGTTTTCAAATGCTGATGAAAAGGGCGAAGCAACAAAACAAGGTTTTTATATGTTTTTTAATTATTTTTGTATGAATATTAGTGTATGTGGTTGAGCATTTCAAAGATGCATATATTTAGTTTTATTCCATTATATGTATCTTTCACAATCTCTCCCTTGTGTATTTTTTGAAGAAGATAATCTCTTTTTCCCAATTACAACTTTGATTTTTATTTTTAAAGCAAAAGTCAAGTTTCATTTTCTCCTTTTGCTCCCATCAATTTCCTCCCGTGATACTCGTGTTCTCGTGTAACAGGAAAGCCCCAAGATGTGGGTGTGGCTTTGGTAAAATCTCTTCAGAACACAAAATATTCAGTTGATGAAAAGTTAGAAGAGAGCTTCATTAATCTATTTAGCCGGAAGCCTAATTTATTATCGAATGCTCAAAGTGATGGAATAGATACTGATGAATCTAGAGAACAGAATCGTATGATAGAGCCTTTAGAGGAATATCACTGTGGGGAAGTTATCAAAGGTGATGGTTCTGCTGAAGAAAGCAATGCAGAAGATTCTGATGGTTCTGAATCAGAATCTTTAGATAAGAATGAAGCGGCTCATAAAGATGCATCAGATCAAGATGCTACTCTTAAAGATCACTTGAAGGAACATGTTGAGAT